ACAAACCAACAAAAACTTATACATAAGTCAACTTTTAGCCATGCTTTCAGGCTTTTGGGTTGTGGTTCTTACGTTGCTTAAAAGATCTTAAGGGTTACTGAGTGCCTGCCCACCTCAATTCCTGTCTGGCCTAGAATGTTTAATGGGCTATAAGCCTTTTGGCCACGAGGATCCCAACAAGGGACATAATGGACGCAGGGCACGCAATGAGGCCACCCTGCCAATGACGTGGAACACAATCAAAGTTGGCCATCAACGCTGTCTGTATTAGGCCATAGTTGCATTGCTCTAACTATGTGGGCTGGGTGCGGTGGCTCACACCTGTCATCCCAGCACTTTAGGAGGCTGAAGCCAGGAAACGACTTGAGGTCAGGAGTTCGAGACCAGCCTGGACAACAAGGCAAAACCCTGTCTCTACTAAAAATACAAAAATTAGCTGGGCGTGGCAGCACACACCTATAATCCCAGCTACTCGGGAGGTGGAGGCGAGAGAATTGCTTGCACCTGGGAGTTGGAGGTTGCAGGGAGCCGAGATTACATCACTGCACTCCAGCCTGGACAACAAGAAAGAAACTCCATCTAAAAAAAAAAAAAAAAAAAAAAAAAAAGAGAGAGAGAGGAAGAAATACCTGGCCAGCGCAGTGGTGCATGCCTGTAATCCCAGCACTTTGTGGGGCTGAGGTGGGCGGATCCCAAGGTCAAGGGATCAAGATTAGCCTGGTCAACATGGTGAAACCCCATCTCTATTAAAAATACAAAAACTAGCCAGCTGTGGTGGTTCCTGCCTGTAGTCCCAGCTACTCGGGAGGCTGAGGCAGGAAAATCACTCTAACCTGGGAGGTGGAGGTTGCAGTGAGCCAAGATCACCCCACTGCACTCCAGCCTGGTGACAGAGTGAGATTCCGTCTCAAAAAAAAGAAAAGAAAAGAAAAGAAAGAAGTATCTAAGACTGGGTAATTTATAAAGAAAAGAGGTTTAATTGGCTCACAGTTCTGCAGGCTGTGCAGGAAGCATAGTGCCAGGCACCTGCTTAGCTTCTGGTGAGGCTTCAGGAGCCGATAATGACAGTGGAGGCAAAGGAAGGGATGCCAATGGATCGCACAGTAAAAGCAGGAGCAAGAGTGGGGCGTGCCACACACTTTTCAACAAGCAGATTTCATGGGAACTCACTATCAGGGGGAAGGACCAAGCCGTGAGGGATCCTCCCCTATAACCCAGACACCTCGCACCAGGCCCCACTTCCAATGGTGGAGATTTCATTTTAACATGAGATTTAGGAAGACAAATATCCAAACTATATCACTGCCAATGGCAGGTTTAGACCAAACAAAGGAAATGAGAATGAAAAATAAAATCCTAGGTTCCCGAATTTACCAACCGCTTCTTAGGCAAGGACACCCCATAGAAACCTTAAAAACTGAGTTCCCGGCCAAGACAATGGCAAGTCAGACACATCTCGTTATGCTATCTCCTTTTTTTTCTTTTTCAGACAGAGGTTCACTCTTGTTGCCCAGGTTGGAATGCTATGACACAATCTCAGCTCACTGCAACCTCTGCCTCCCAGGTTCGAGAGATTCTCCTGCCTCAGCCTCCTGAGTAGCTGGGTGTAGAGGCATGCACTGCCATGCCCAGCTAATTTTTTGTATTTAGTAGAGACAAGGTTCTACCATGTTGATCAGGCTGGTCTCAAACTCCTGACCTCAGGTGATCCACCCGCCTCAGCCTCCCAAAGTGCTGGGATTACAGTTGTGAGCCCCCACGCCTGGCCAAGAGGGTATATTTATGTTGTGTTTTTTACCAGCAAAAAAAAAAAAAAAGAATTCATGTTCTTATGAAACAGGATTTGTGCCCTTGACCTTGATCCCCTTCGTGGGCAGGAACTGGAGTGGCTCATTTACTCTGCCTGCAGTTCCTGGATGGCTACGTGTTAACAGCTCAGGGAAGCATCGGGTAACAGCCTCCTGCACCTGCCCTTTTTGATACTCGAGTTCTTGTTCAGTGTCCAGGAATAATCGGGTCACATGAGCTACTTGAAGGGTTGTGTACGCAGAGGATGGGTAGTGTATGCAAAGGATTTTATTGGGTGACAAAAGTGGCTCTCTGCAGGATGGGGAATTGGAAAGGGGGATGGTACGGGAGGATGGTGATCTTTCCCTGAAGCCACACCATCTGAAGTTAGCCACATCTATCCGTGGTTGAAGCTCACCCACATGTGTCCCCAGGCTCAGCAGCTTGTTTCCCTGCTGGTCAGCTGCTTGTGTTGCTCTTTCTTCCTTTTTGTTCTGCCAGCTGGTCTGGTTTTTATGGGTACAGGTTGGGGGCGGGGAGGGCCAAAAAGGAAATCATTTGGGCAGAAAAACGGGGCCAGCGTTTTCACTTAGGGCTGAGGTTCCAGGTCTGAGGGTGGGGTTTAACTGGGAACCCAGCCGTTCCGTATCACTTAAAAAAAGTGACAAGAGTGCAACCTCTCTCTCTCTTTCCCCTCATGCATACAAAGAGGCCATGTGAGCACAGAGCAAGATGCAGGGCACACAAGCCAAGAAAAGTGGCCTTAGAATGAAGCCTATGTTGCTGGCACCTTGATCTTGGGATTCCCAGACTCTAGAGTCATGAGCAATAAATTTCTATTGTTTAAGCCCCCTTGGCTGTGGCATTTCTTTATGGCAGCCCAAACTGACTCCTACAGGGACACAGACCCAGACCCCAACACTGGAGAAGAGACAGGATGCAAATCAAACCTCCTCAAGTCGCTGTCAAAGGACAACTATGGGCTGGGCTCGGTGGCTCATGCCTGTAATCCCAGCACTTTGGGAGGCTAAGGCAGAAGGATCTCTTGAGCCCAGGAGTTGAGATCAAGCTGGGCATCATTGCAACACCCCATCTGTAGAAAAAAAAATTGCAAGGTGCTGTGGTGTGCACCTGTGGTCCCAGCTACTTGGGAAGCTGAGGTGGGAGGATCACTTGATCCCAGAGGTTAAGGGTGCAGTGAGTTGTGATCGCATCACTGTTCACCAGCCTGGTTGACAGAGTGAGACCCTGTCTTTTTTTTTTTTTGAGACAGAATCTCATTCCAGGCTGGAATGCAGTGGCACTGAAGCAGGAGCGGAGGGGAACAAATCTCTTGAACACCGGATGGAGAAAGGAAGTGGCTTTTTATTTGGCCAGGAGCTGTGGGGGGCTATAGCCTCATTCACCGAGCTCCCCAAGCTGCAGCTTCTCTCCCCTTTTATAGGCTTACAACACTAAAGGGGAAACTGAGGTGGAACTATGTTATTGTTCATTTGCTGGACATCCGACCTTCCAATTTTTTGGCTTTATTGATTTGCTAATTTATATGCAGCATGATCGGGGACCGGCACGGGAGGGGGCTTACAGAGATAGGATAAAAACAAGCTGTTTGTTGGTAGAGGTGTTTCCGGGAGGGAGCCTGGCCCATGGAGACATGGGGGTGTGACCCAGTGTCAGGCTCCAGCCGGCAGAGATAGCATTCATTTGCAACTCTTTCAAGGTTAACAGATAGCAGACACTGGGAACCAAAAAGGGAGTCATTTTCCCAACTCTTTGGTATTTTATTTTTTCCTTCCTCCCCTCCTTCCCATCTGGAAGTGGGGGAGAGAGGAGGTGAAATGGAAGGAGGCAAGGGGGTCTCCCTTTCAGCACGATCTTGGCTCACTGCAACTTCCACCTCCTGAATAGCTAGGATTACAGGCACCCACCATCATGCCTGGCTAATTTTTGTATTTTTAGTAGAGACGGGGTTTCATCACGTTGGCCAGGCTGGTCTCGAACTCCTGACGTCAAAATGATCCACCCACCTCGACCTCCCAAAGTTCGGGGATTACAGACGTGAGTCACCACACCCGGCCAAGACCCTGTCTTAAAAAAGAAAAGGGGAAGCCGGGCGTGGTGGCTCAAGCCTGTAATCCCAGCACTTTGGGAGGCCGAGGTGGGTGGATCACGAGGTCAAGAGATCAAGACCATCCTGGTCAACATGGTGAAACCCCGTCTCTACTAAAACTACAAAAAATTAGCTGGGCATGGTGGCGCGTGCCTGTAGTCCCAGCTACTCAGGAGGCTGAGGCAGGAGAATTGCCTGAACCCAGGAGGCGGAGGTTGCGGTGAGCCGAGATCGCGCCATTGCACTCTAGCCTGGGTAACAAGAGCGAAACTCTGTCTCAAAAAAAAAAAAAAAAAAAAAAAAAAAAGGGAAAGAAAAAAAAGAAAAAAGCACAACTATGGCAGGGCTGCAAAGGAGGCAGGAGGAGGTGACAGAGCAGAGGGCTGAGGAACAAGAGGAACTGTCTATGCAGAGAGGGACTTGAGAGCCTTCTGGGCATTGAGCACTGAGTGTGAGACCAAGAGGGAACTAGAGGGCCCTGGACCATCCAGACCCCGGTCCTCCACTGGCCTCAAGAGAAGGGGAGTCCCTGTCCGCTTCTTGCTCTGTCCTGGCCACCCCAAACCAAAGACTGCACTGGTCCCCAAGGTGAAGTCTCCCCCTGCCTCTGGTCGAGTAAGGAGTGAAGCCAGCTTTGAGCCCGTCCCTTTCCAGCTCCAGCCGTGACAGACCCCAGATCTGGAAGGGGGCTGGCCACACTGGGATCTCTGGGTGGGGCCGTCTGGGCAGGTCTGGGGTCTGAGACGGGATTTCTGGACCTAACAATGGAGCTCAGGAGCTCCAGCAAGCTGTGCTCTGCAGGGAGCCCAGGTCAGGTTCAGAGAGGAGCTGCCAGGGATCCTGCAACACCCGCCCCACCACTGCTCTCCTCCAGCCCCCAGTTCTAGCACCTTGGTCCAAGAGAGACTTCCTTTGAGAAACCCACTGGCCCTCCCTTTTCTGCCACCTCTAAAGCTCTGCTCAAAGCATCTTTGTTTGAGGCTGGTCCTGTAAAGCCACAGCCCCGCCTTGGTCCTGTTAATTACTCCCTGGCTAAGCCTTGCTCTCTCCTGGACCTTTAAGACCCTAAGCCCCTCCCCCAACTCCAGTCAGCAGGGAGGGCACCAGGCTGTGAGTGTGAGAGCAGGCCAGGGGCTGTGGGGGCAGGCAGGGGCAGCAGGTGGGTATTGATGGGGGAGGGGAGTTAGGATGGGAGAGGGGGAGGATGGGGAGAGGGTGAAATGGGGGAGGGGGAGAATGAGGGAAGGGGTGGGCTGGAGGAGGGGAGTGAGGATGGGGGAGGGGTAAGGATGAAGGAGGGGTGAGGATGAGGGAGGAGGTGAGGATGGCGGAGGGGTGAGGATGAGGGAGGAGGTGAGGATGGCGAAGGGGTGAGGATGGAAGAGGGTGAAGCTAGAAGGGGGTGAGGATGGGAAGAGGTGAGGATGGACGGGGGTGAGGATGGAAGAGGGTGAGGAAGAGGGAAGGGGTGAGGATAAAGGAGGAGGATGAAGATGGGGGAGGGGGTGAGGATGAGGGAGGGGGTTAGGCTCTAGGGCTTCTGTTGAGGCCAAGGATGCCCAAATTTCTGGTGGTGAGTGTTGCATACTTGGCCAGAGGTGGTCACCTGGGGCCTGGGCAGAAAGAAGGGTATAAAGCCTGGACCACCAGGATAAGTCCAAGACCCACCAGGAGGTGAAGGACCACAGAGCGGGTGAGGAGTTGGGGTGGGGATTGATGCCCCTGGGCCAGGACGCTCCTCTCTTCTCCCTGCTGGCTCCAGACCAGCGTCCATGTCCTGGGCAGTGCCACCCTTACCTAGCCCAGCTCTGAAGACAAAATGAGGGTGGCTTCCTGTCTCCAGGTCCTGCTCCTTTTGGTGCCGGGTGAGTGGAGACAGGGACTGGGGGTGAGGGTGAGGGCTGCAGACACCTTGGGTCCCAGGCCTACCATCTCGCCACTCTCTGGGCTGGGCTCCCTGAAGCACTCTTGGGCTTTCTAATCTCCATTCCAAGGGCTCAGTCCTCTCTGCCACTGACCTTGGCATCCCCACACCTCTAAGTGCTTGTCGATGTCCTGGTAGCATGTCCTGACCCCTTGCACCTTCACAGTGCTTTGGGGAGGGTTAAATAAAGTAACAGATGGCATGAAAGCTGGGCACAGGGTCAGGGCAATGTATATGTTTCACCCCCCTTCCTAATCTCTGGCCTCCCCTCCAATCCCGTTGACACCAAATCCATAACCTGGTCCCTTCCCTGCTTCCTCCTCCAGGATCTGCTGGGACTCCGGGAAGGAAGTCTGCAGGTGAGGAAGCCTCGGAGTCCACCCGAGTCAGCCTTCCTAGACCTCGGCCCATGCTTCCCTGCCCACACCTGCCTCCCAGGCCCCAGTCCTCGGCCAACTCTCGCCACCCCTGGTCCTTTTTGCAGCCTGCGGGCAGCCCCGCGTGTCCAGTCGGATCGTGGGGGGCCGGGATGCCCAGGATGGAGAGTGGCCGTGGCAGGCGAGCATCCAGCATCGTGGGGCACACGTGTGCGGGGGGTCGCTCATCGCGCCCCAGTGGGTGCTGACAGCGGCGCACTGCTTCCTCAGGTCAGCGCTCACCGACAGCCCAGGCGGGGTGTGTAAGGAAGGCAAGGCCCTCGGAGGGCAGGGCGTGGCCTGGCAGAAGCCCTGGGCTCGAGGCGGGCTGGTAGAGGTCGAGGACCCAGTGCTGGAAGTAGCCCCCCACTCCTGTCCTGCAGGAGGGCACTGCCAGCTGAGTACCGCGTGCGCCTAGGGGCGCTGCGTCTGGGCCCCACCTCGCCCCGCACGCTCTCAGTACCTGTTCGACGGGTGCTGCTGCCCCCGGACTACTCTGAGGATGGGGCCCGCGGCGACCTGGCACTGCTGCAGCTGTGTCGTCCAGTGCCCCTGAGCACCCGCGTCCAGCCCGTCTGCCTGCCCATTCCCAGCGCCCGCCTGCTGCCTGGCACAATGTGCTGGGTCACTGGCTGGGGCAGCCTCCACCCAGGAGGTAAGGCAGGACAGTGGGGCATGGAGGCATCAAGGAGCCCCCACCTCCTCCTCCATCTGACTGGAAATCCCAGCCCCTCGCTGCCCCAATCCAGGACCCAGCGCAGCTTCTAGGAACCCAACCCTCCTCACTCAGAGCTCAGCTTCTCCTGCTGACCCCTGCTCCATGCCTTCCTCTCAGAGGTTCCTCCTCTTTCTCCAGTGCCCCTCCCAGAGTGGCGACCGCTGCAGAAAGTAAGGGTGCCACTACTGGACTCTCGCACCTGCGACCGCCTCTACCACGTGGGCGCTGACATGTCCCGGGCCGAGCGCATTGTGCTGCCCGGGAGCCTGTGTGCCGGCTACCCCCAGGGCCACAAGGACGCCTGCCAGGTGGCACCCTGCCTCCCTAGCCTCCAGACTCCCATCCCTGTGCTTAGCACCCTACCTCCCTAAAATCCAGGACCCAGGATATATCAACTCAGGCTCAAGGTTGTGGCCCCCAACCCAGAGGCACCACCCTAGGGGTTTGGAGCCCGGAGAACAACTCTGAAGTCACGGGAGGACTGGGATCTAAGTGCCTCTTTCTCCTGCAGGGTGATTCTGGAGGACCCCTGACCTGCCTGCAGGCTGGGAGCTGGGTCCTGGTAGGCGTGGTGAGCTGGGGCAAGGGTTGTGCCCTGCCCAACCGTCCAGGTGTCTACACCAACGTGGCCACATACAGCCCCTGGATTCGGGCTCACGTAAGCATCTAATGCTGGCCCGTGAGGCTGACCTGGAGCCAGCTGCTGGGGTCCCTCAGCCTCCTGGTTCATCGGAGACCCTCCCATACCCCAGATCCCTTCTGCCTTGAGGCCAAGATGCCTAATAAAGCTAAAGGCCACCCCACTCCCCTGCCCACCACCTCCTGCTTCCTCTCCTTTTTGGGGCTCATCAGATCTGACTCCACCAACCCTCATCCGGGGATCTGCCATGCGTCCCAGGGGTCACACTTCTTGCTCCCTTCCTGGCTTGTATTTAGTTTTCTCAGCCCTAGCCAGGGCTGGGAGCAAGGCACGCAGCAGTGGGCAAACCAGTTGCTACCCATCTGGCCTGTGTGCCCATCTTTTTCTGGAGAAAGTCAGATTGACAGCATGACAGAGATTTGACAACAGGGAGATCCTCCACAGCTGGCTTTGAAGACAGGGGACCACATCCTGTGAGCAGCCTCTAGGAGCTGAGAGCAGCCCCTGCCAATAGCCGGCAGGGAATTGGAGCCCTCAGCCGCAAGGCACTGGATTCTGGCAGCACCCCAAAGTAGTTGGGAAGTGAGTTCTTCCCCAGCCTCCAGATAAGAGCCCCGCCGGCCAATCCCTTCATTTCAACCTAATGAGACCCTTAGGCAGATAACCTAGCTGAGCCACCCGGACTCCTGACCTACAAAATAAAGACGTGTTTTAAGCTGCTCCATTTGTGCTGATTTATTATACGGCAATAAAAACTAATATAGATTTTGCCCCACTGTGATGGAGGTGTCTCAGTGGAAAGGTGGGCTGGCCAGTGTGGTCACCTCCCCACGTACTCCAAGACGCTGGGCACTTGGCATCACACCCTCAGCCCAGGAGGGGTCAGGAACCCCCAGGCAGGGCCAGATTCTGTTCTCATTGTGTCTGGCCACCATTCACTCCCAGGGTGGGCCTGGAGCCCCGGCCAACCCACACACACCTATACCTGAACACCAACAGCTACCCAAATGCAGGTCCTTGCTGACCATTGAGGTCCCCTTCCAGCCTGGTATCTGGCATCCTGTCCTCTCTCTGCCAGGTCCTTGTCCCCAGAGCCAGGAACGCCCATTTCAATAGATAGAGGTCAGTTTCCACAGCTACAGAAGGAAAAAGAAACTGAACAAAACCTGGAAAATTCCAAGCCTATTCTGGAGCTGACAGGGACAGTCGGCAGAAGGGAAGAGAAGACAGGGGAAGGCCAACTTCAAAGGTGCAGCCCCTTGAGGCCCAGGCACAGGCCTGAGCTTCGCCTCCCTCCCCTTTTCTCCTGGGGAGCCAGGGAAATGGGTTATACTAGATAGCAAAGCTGGGCCAGGCCAGATGGGGCAGGGAGGGTGCTGAAGGCTGCTCGGTCCCCTAGGTAGAAAACAGGCTATGCTGCAGCAGAGCCTGGCCACTGTTGGTGGGGTCATCAGGGACCAGATGCGCAGGACAACAGGGTATGACTATGGCAGGACAGCCTACAAAAGACTGCAGGCCCAACTAAGGAGGCAGGGGAACTGGCGCTGGGCAGGGGAGGGAGGACCATCAATGAGAAGAAATCATGACCCTTCATCAAGCCCTCACCAGACACGTGCTGAAGGAGGGCTTTATTGCATCAGCTCATTAAATTCCCACAAGAGGCTCTGTGAGGTGGTTTGTCCCCATTTGTCAGATGAGAAAATCAAGTCCCAAAAGTCACAGTACCGGTAAGCTTGGTAGACTGGGACTCCAGTCCAGGCAGTCTGATTCCGGGAGAGGAAGAGGTGCTCTGCTCTCTCCACTTCCTCCCACTCCAACAGGGCAGTCTCCCTGCACCCCTCCACTCGGCCTGTTCCTGGCATGGTAGCCTGTGGTGCCAGTCGAGTGGCAGCTCTTCTCAGCCCCATGCAATTGACCCCACAGGATGGGGCCTGTTTCCCTCTCTGTAATCTGAACTGATAACATGGGCTGCATTCTCAGGGATGTGTGGACACTTTTCGGGCCTGCTGGGAGATGTCCTGTATGGCCATATTTCGTAATTGGAGGTCACCTTAGGATGTGGTTATTTTAGGCCAGGTGTGGTGGCTACTTTGGGAGGTTGAGGCAGGAGGATTGCTGGAGCTCAGTTCGAGACCAACTTGGGCAACATGGGGAAAGCCCATCTCTACAAAAACTCTAAAAATTAGCTAGATGTGGTGATGCATGCCTGTAGTCCCAGCTTCTCGTGGGACTGAGGAGAGAGGATTATTTGAGCCCAGGAGGCGGAGGCTGCAGTGAGCCAGTATCAGGCTATTGCACTCCAATCTGGGTGAGAGTGAGACCCTGTCTCCAAAAAAAGGAATGTGGCTATTTTCAAACAGCATGAACCTTATAGGTGCCTTGTGAGTGCCTAGGTACACATTTTAAGATAGAGTTGCTCTGGTTGTTTTATTAAACCAGAAGCCTGGTAAGCAGAGGTTCCTAACACTCTCAAACCAAAATCACAATCATCAACACAGAAGACTTCTGTGACCAACTGTGGTGGCGGTTTTCCCCACACACACTAAGCACTGGACACCACCGGGGTGTCCTCTGATTCAATTCCAAATCTGCCCAGAGCCAGCATCAGGTCCTACAGGCGGGGCTCAGACGACTGCCTCCCCATCCCCTAGTCACAAATTTGGGCTCTGGAACTTCTGACCAACTGTCTTCAGATTGGCATTCCCTTGACTCTCCTCTTAGGGTTCAATTAATTTGTTGGAGTGACTCACAGAACTTGGGGAAACACGCTCACTGGTTTATCATAAAGGATGTTACAAACGATATGGATGAAGGGATGTGTAGGGCGAGGTGTTGGGGAGAGGCACGGAGCCCCCATTCCTCCCTGCCGTGTCACCCTACGGGAACCCACAGGAGTGGAGCTATCCAGAAACTCTCTAAACCCTGTCCCATAGAGCTTTTATGTAAGCTTCAGGACAACAGCATTCCTTTTCCCAGGAAGAGGGCAGGACCCTTTCTGGGGAGGGTCTTAAGACTTCCAATCAGAAAGGCCCGAAGAAGATCAGCGTCCTGCCTTGGGCAAGAGAAAGGAGGGCTAGAGAGAGACCGTTCCCCAAGGTCTAACACACCCTAAAGACACTAGGGCCTTCTCCATCATAACACCACAACCGGTCTGGGATGGGATGTGAAGGGGATAAAAGGTAGACAGGAGAGAGCAGAAGACAGACTGCAAGGCAGTCTCTGACTGAAGTCTGAGAGGTAGGGAGGTGAAGGCCAGTAAGGAAAGGATCCCAGGAGGACCTTCCTGTGGAAACAGGTGCAGCTGGCCAGTTTCTCCCCACCACTGGACACTCCCATTCCTTGTTAAGGCCCTTAAGGAGAACCTGGACCCCACAAGACCACATTTCCAAAAGTAACTGGAGACCCCAGGCTAGGCCAGCAATTGGCCCTGCTCCCCAAAAATCCCTCCTGACCCCATTCCTACCGCAAGAGGTACCACTGCACTGAACGACTGGATGGCCTGTCATCTCCTCGTGTAGTTAACCCACAGCGGGGACAGTGCTGTGGTGTGTGGAGACCACCTCTGGGGGCAAGGACTTGTGCTGTGCTGGGTCCAGGCGACCTCTGACAGCAGACAGGCACCATTCACCGCAGCAGCTGGGGAACTGTGACTGCTCACCCAGCATCAGCGTATGCCTGCGATGGTTGCTGTATGCATGGGCTGATGTGCACGCATACTCCCTAACGTCCCAAGGGCTCCACACTGTGTATCCTCGTTTGATGGGAACACCAGGTGTAGGCCCCAGGCCTTGCCGGTAGGAGCTGGGGTTTGAACCCAGGTGATCTGCTCTCTGAGGGACAGGTCCTATGGTTTCTGGTGGACATCCTGAGGTGGGGCATCAGCTGTGACTGCCACCCACAGGCAAGGTGTCCATGCCCTGGTCTGTACCAATGAAGCCTGGACGGAGTAGGGATCCAGGCGTCTCCCTGTGGAGACGGCCACTCCTGTACCTACACCCCTTGACTTCTGGGTGGGCTGCTAGGCTGCAGAGAACTTCCTGGCCCTCACCGTCCATACCTTCCCTTGGCTCTCCCGCCTCACAAGCACAGGATTTCAAGTTGCCAGTTCTAGGTACATAAAGACGCTGGGATTATTTAATTGGAGACAGTCTCACTCTGTTGCCCAGGCTGGTGTATAGTGCCAAGATCTCAGCTCACTGCAACCTGCACCTCCAGGTTCAGCAATCCTCCTGCCTCAGCCTCCCAAGTAACTGCGAGCACAGGCATGCATCACCACACCCAGCTAATTTTTTTTTTTTGTATTTTTAGTGGAGACAGGGTTTTCACCTTGCTGGCCAAGCTAGTCTTGAACTTCTGGGCTAAAGTGATCCACCCACCTCAGCCTCCCAAAGTGCTGGGATTACAGAAGTGAGCCACCTTCCCCAGCCAGACACTGAGATTAAGAAGGAAATCTTTTCAGCCTAGCCTAGAGCTCTTACCAACAATCACCTGTCCAATGCCTCATGACTCAAGTCATGGAGCAGAGGCAGGTTCTGCAGGGTCTGGGATGCTGAGGACCCTGGGAGCAGGAGTAGGGGCTGCAGTGAAATGCAGTGAGGGCAGTCACACTAGGGAAGGGACTTCGGACGACTCCCGAGGGAGGAGCCACAAAAGTAACAATAACCAGAATTACAGTTTAGAAAACATCCATGCAGCGCCAATACTTGCCGAAGTTCTACACAGTTCACAAACTGCTTCTCTCCTATCTAGAAGAGGAGGAAACCGGGCTTTGTTGAGGTTAACGGCCCATGGCCGCAGTCAGCAGCGGGGCCCAGGGCTGCTCCTTAGCCACTCTAGATGCCCAGGCAGCAGCGGCACTTCCACGCTCCGCCCACTATCATCAGCCCTCGAAGGGCAGCTCCGAGGACTGCAGCGCGGTGGGGTCCAAGGCCACCCTCTGGCTCTTCTCTCGAACGCCACCTCCGACACCCGCCCAGCAACGACCCAGCTTCTGGTGTCTCTCCGCAGGGGAGTGGTCAACTGGGGGGCGGGCCCTCGCTCTCGTGTAAATGCAACTTGGGGCGATGCAGGACAGTATCCAGCACCTAAGCAAGGGCGCCTGGAAGGAGCGGCCAGCCAGGAAAATCAAGTCTCCAGGCCTTTTCAGAGACGAAATGCAGCCAGGCGGGAAGGCCGACTGGCGCCCCGGGCTCCTGGTGCGAGAGGCTGCCCCTTACCTCCTGAGGAGAGCGGTCACCAACCCTTCCCGTGCCTCCTCTTTTAATCGAGGGAGTTCGCCCCTAAGCCCAACGGCAACCCCAACGGCTCCTCACAGGTCATAAGCCTCTCTGAGCCGCGACCTTCCTAGCATCCAGCCCGATGCAAGGAACGGGGCGACTGTCCCCACCACGGCGGCCAGAGAGGGCCCAAAATGGAGAGCCTGCCCAAGATGGGTCCCACGAATGCCCCGCGACAAGGAAGCCCGGGGCTCGCTCTGACCACGCCTGGGGCCCACGGGACCGCACCACACCACGGAGGAAACCTCGACCCCGCCACGCCCGAGACGGCGCCACCGCCTCCCACAACCAACCTCAGCGCCGAGATGGCGGCCGCACGCCCCTCGGCACGGCCCGCTTCCGGATCACTTAAAATGGCGGCGGCACAAGGCGGGGCAGCACAAGGCGGGGCTGCGCCAGGGAAGGCGGGCCGGCGCGGGGCATGCCGGGCCGCGCGCGGGCTGCCGGGAACGGGGCGGAGCGCGGCCGCGCCGGCGCGTCGAGGTGAGAGGCAGCCGCCGAGATGGTGAGCGGGCGTGGGGGAGGGGCGGCCGGGCCGGGCCGGGGGCGGCGGGGGGCGGCTGGGCCGCGTCAGGGGCCGGGGCTTTGCCCTCACGCCGGCCCGCCGCCCCCAGGACGTGTTCCTTATGATCCGGCGCCACAAGACCACCATCTTCACGGACGCCAAGGAGTCCAGCACGGTGTTCGAGCTGAAGCGCATCGTCGAGGGCATCCTCAAGCGGCCGCCCGACGAGCAGCGGCTGTACAAGGTGGGTCCCGCGGGCGGGCACACGGGAGAGGGTGCCCGGCGCGGGGCTGACGGCGACGCTGTTCGCGATGTAAACAGTGGCGGCCGGCGACGCCTGCGGGCGCCCGAGCCGCGGGGCTGGGACATCCGTTGTGCGGGTGAAGCGCGAGCACCGCTCGCCGCGGGGATCTCCAGTCCAGGGGCGAAAGTTTAGACCTCGTGCCGGGTCTCGGGCGCCAAGGGCACCGTGGCATCCAACCCCTGCAACAGTACCGCCCGCGCCATGCAGTTGACGAAAGTGAGGTTCAGCTTGGTCGTTTAACCAGCCGAAGGTCATTGGCAGCGCCAGGGTCTGAACCGCATGCGACCCCTTAATCGCCAGCGTTCTCCGCAGGCCCAGAGGAATCACGCTGTCCCCCCGGACGCTACTGGGGGTGAAGGTTGGGGGACTCAGCTGATGCAGAGTCAGGTCGCACTCGTTTTTCACCAAGCAACCATTTGTTATTACCTCCCGGTCTCCTGCTACTGTTCTAGAAGCCCCCCACTTTCCCCTTGCAAACAAACTGCGATTATTCAATCAGAATGGCTTGGGATTTGGGGTCTGCATTGGAGAGTCAGATGCCTCAGCCTCTGATTTATGTCTCCCAGCATCGTGAGGTTGTCGCCTAAGTGCATTGATCAAATTCTACAGCTGGAAACTGGGAAACTGACTTTTAGCTCCAAACTCAGAGCCTCAGCTCCCATGGTCCCTAATGGCCTTTCCTCACTGATACCTACTGGGACTTAGCCAATATTAAATGACCCTGCCTCTGCATGTCCCATGTGCGACATATCTACTCAAGTAGTGCTTTATGTTCCTCATTAAAACCTTCTGGTGGCCCTACGAATTGAGAATTCTGGTAATTCCTGGTTTACAGATGATGAAACTGCATCAAAAGGGTCAACTACCAGCTGGGTGTGGTGGCATGGTCTTGTAGTCCACATGCTCTGAAAGTTGAGGCAAGAGAATAGCTTGAGCCCAGGAGTTCCAAGCTAGAAGGGGCTATGATGGCGCTTATGTAGGGTCTATGCCACTGCACACCTGGGCAACATAGCGAGACCCTGTCTCTTAAGTACAAAAAAAGAAAAAATGTTCAAATTCCTCGTCCAAGGTGGCAGAGCTGAGATTGAAACCCAGGTCTGCTTATTTTCAGATAAGTGGTTCCTCAGATTTGCCTGGAGAATTTGGATAAAACCATATACTAAAGCCCCACCCCAGGAGGTTCTGATTTAGAAGTTGTTGGATATAACCCTGGAATCTGTGTATTGATAGGCATCGTGGTGGTCCTGGTCCACACTGAGGGCCCTCCTCTGACTTCCCTGTAGTTGCTGGTCAGAGGTCTTTGGGACTTGCCCCACATGGGGCCTCTCCCAAGATCCTGCTTCTCTTCTCAGGATGACCAACTCTTGGATGATGGCAAGACACTGGGCGAGTGTGGCTTCACCAGTCAAACAGCACGGCCACAGGCCCCAGCCACAGTGGGGCTGGCCTTCCGGGCAGGTGAGAGGGGCCTGGGCTGGGTGGCAGCCAAGCAGGTTGGGAGCAGTCAAAGAGGGTCATCATGGAGCCTGGAGTTGAAGCCTTCAGGACAGTGTCTTCCCCATGCCTGAAGGGCTGGCAGTATTCTTTGATAGTGTGTTTGTTTCCTCATTTGAAAAAAAAAAAAAAGTAGCAAACAAATGAGATGCTTACGGAAAAGGAAGCTTATTTCCCAAAGGCAGCTCACACTTACAGGCGGCTGACTGAGTACCTGGCTCTGTGAGTCACTGTGTGTTGCTTCCACTGTCCCATCTCCTCCTCTCAGTCGCCCTGAGGGGTCTGCATACCATCATCCCTGTTTTGCAGATGAGGACGCAGGCTTGCCGGCAGTCATGTGGGGAGCCATGGTTAAGAGGCTGCCGGCCCTTGCTGGAGTCAGCATGCCAGGCTCTGTGTTGTGATCACTGAATCCCTCTGCATCTGTGTGGTTGAGTTGGATTTTGCCAGTTTTCAGGTTCAGTAAAGTGAGCCTGGCGAGGTTAGGCCACCTGCTGGGACTGTCAGATCTGGAGCCTGTGCCTCCATCTGCCGTACCCCACCCCTGCCCAAGCTTTGAAACCTGGGGATTAGGAGTGCTTTACTGCTCACCAGGGCATTTTCTTCCACCCAAGAGAAAAGGAGGGGAGATTTAAAATGTTTTCTCTCTGGGAACTTGAACAGAGGTTATTATAGAGCTGTGTTTTCATAGCTGTGGACCTAGCTGCTGTGTGGATGGCTGAGAAAACTTGGATAAAGTTAGGAATTATTAATATTTTTCTGGCTTGTAAGAAAACATAGCAAGAGCTGATGAGGAAGAGTACAGTCCTAGCTCCACCTTTCAGTTCCATAAATTCAGGCTAGGTCTCAGCCTCAGCAGCAGTATCCCCTGGCCGGCTACCTTGCCCACCCGCCCTTCCTGGCCCCAGTGTTCCCTTGTCCTTAAAGGAGGTGAGTCCTCAGGCACCCCAGGTCTGGCCCGCTGCCAGTGCCCAACAGACAGGAAGCTTCAGAGCCTTTCTCTGGGCTCCTTCTGCCCAGATGTTGATGTTAGGAGTCAGGTGCAGAGCTGGCACAGACATACAGGTCGTGCCCTGTACAGGGGTGCATTTTTTTGTTCTGTTGTTTCTGAGACAGTCTCACTGTGTTGCCCAGGCTGCAGTGCAGTGGCATGATCTCAGCTCACTGCAGCCTCCACCTCTGGGGTTCAAGTGATTCTCCTGCCTCAGCATTTTGAGTAGCTGGAACTACAGGTGTGCACCACCATGCCTAGCTAATTTTGTATTTTTAGTAGAGACGGGGTTTCGCCATGTTAGGCTGGTCTCAAACTCCTGACCTCAGTTTATTTGCCTACCCCAGCCTCCCAAAGTGCTGGGATTACAGGCCCAGGGTGCCTTTCTGAAGAGGGCAATTGAGTTGTGAGGTCTGCTTCCTGAAACGAAGCTGCAGTGCATTCTCCCAGAAGTGTACCCTAGAAGTTTGAACAGTGGTACCCTAGAAGTTTGCTGTGACTTGGAAGATACTGATAGACCCATTTTGTAGATGAGAAAATCAAGACTAAGGAAGGTGACTTGTTTTTCCCCCACAACCCTTAGTGTATGGCATGGAATGTAGTCGTGGCTCTGGAGCCCAGGTCACATCATCCCTCTTGCAGATGATGGCTGTCATTGATGGGGGCCACAGTGTGGACTGCTTGTAGAAACACACTTCTGGATGCAGCGCAACCCATCATGTTGTTCCCAGGCCTTGACTGGGTGCCCCACCCTCTGCCTCCCAGTGTTTATGTGCAAGGATGAGACACAGGCCTCTCCCCTCCCCCAAGCTTACCACTCAAGGAGGTAACTATCAAATTAAATGTTAAAGGGCATTGTCCAGGCTCATTGCCAAAGAATGAGGGAGGTAGTGAAGGCACAAATTGTCACAGGTTTGTGGCCTGGAAGATGCATTAGACTAAGCTGTCAGTTTCTGAACCTCGGCACAGTGGGCTTGTTGAGCTGGAGTAATGTGTGGGTTGTTTTGTGCACCATAGCACATGGAGCTGTATACCTGGCCTCTACCCACTAGATAGCACTGGAGCACCCCACCTCCCCAGTTGTGACAGCCAGAACTGTCACCAGGGATGCTAGCTTTCCCTGGGATGCCTCATCAATTGAGAACCCTGAGCCAGGTATCGATGGGTCTCCTTGCTGGAAGAAAGCACAGGAAAAAAGCTGTGAAGTGGGGTTTGTTTGCTGTGTATTGGGGTGACAGCAGGGACAACATAGGGAAGACCTTGGCCTTCCTGGAGCCAGTCAAAAGAAAGGGCAATTTGGTAAGTGCCCCCATGCCCAGGGTGTCAGGATGTCTTGACTGTTGGGGGTGGGTAGACGGGAGGTTCATCTGAGGCGGTGACCTGAGCTGGACCCTGAAAGTCCAGAAGCAGCCAGCCATTCTGAGTGCTGGGACCAGCAAGTGCAAAGGCCCGAGTTAGGAAAAGAACTTAGTGTGGGAACATAGAGGGCCAGAGCCTGAGCGCGTGGGAGGTAGAGACCAAAGGCAAGGATGTGATGGTAATTTGGGGCATGATAGGAAGTCACTGGAAGGTTTTAAGCAGGGAAGGAGTAGTCTAGTTTGATTTTAAATTAAGGAAAAAGGGTGTGAAGGGAACAAGGAGATAGAGATATTTTGGGTGAAGAGTGATGCTGGCTGCAGATGGTCAGCCCTCGGGCTTACTATTTGGACATGGAAGATGAGGAAAGGGGCCCCAGCATGGTCAGTGGGAGGGGCTGGGAGACACTGACATGGGGCCACTGAAGCACCAACTGTGTGGACGAGTGTTCACATGGAGATTCCTCAGAGCTGCAGATAATCACACACAAACACCAAAGCCCCAGCTGAGGCAAGTCAGGATACCCCCCTCCAGCTCTGTTCCTTCCCTCACAGAGGACACCTTTGAGGCCCTGTGCATCGAGCCATTCTCCAGCCCGCCCGAGCTGCCTGACGTGATGAAGCCCCAGGACTCGGGAAGCAGTGCCAATGAACAAGCCGTGCAGTGAGGACCCCGAAGAGGCCCATTCCCTTCAATAAAAGAGATTTGGCAGTCTGCCTGGTTGCTGCCTCTTTTTTCCCAATCCTCCCTGGGGGGCTCCTTTTAGGGCTTGTGCTTGTCAGGTCCGGTACTGCCCTGTCTGCCAGACCCTGGGACCCTCAGTTGCACTGAGACCCAAGCCATTCTTAGCAGTCACACCAATCATAGCCCTGAGCCAGCCTCAGTGATAAGAGATTCCAATTCTAGGCCTTTTTCCTTCCAAGTGTCCTCTACCCCATACCCTGCATGTCCACTCCCAGGGGCCTCTTTTCCAGTGTCCTGGTTTGACAGCATGTTCAATGAGGGAAACCCAAGGTGGACTCACACAGGTCCACCCACACTGGGGATGCAACCAGGGAAGGAGGTGGCATTCCTGTCACCACACCTAATAAAGAGTCTACAGACCCAGTTCCTGCATTTCTCATTTTTATTTGACAGAAAAAGTTGCTCTTGCTGTACAGATTTTAAAAAACCAAAATGCCTTTAAGAAACGTGAAAAGTTGGGGGGAGGGGTACACAACCTCATGGGGGACAGTAGGAACCAACTAATTCCAATTCCTGCCCCTTCCAAGAATACCTCTCACAACCTCCAGTCCCAAACCACCATCACCCCAGGTACTTTTGGATACAAACAGGGCCATGCCTCCCTGGCCCTGACTCCAGGCTGGAGTGTCCTGAAGTGTTATCCTCCCCTCCCCCAACTCCCATCTGCATTCCCTCCCACCCCAAACCCCCCAGAACACGTGAACCAGGAAAAACTCACGGAGATTAACATTTCACAGGAACAAAGAAAAAAAAGGGGAGGGGAAAAGGAGCCCTCCATCCAAGGGCTGCCAAGGCTCAAAGGGGGGCAGACAAAGACCCTCCCACGGCTCTGCTGGGGACAAAGGGACACTCCCTGTGGCTCCAGAGCATGGGGTGTGGTAGAATCCCCCAGAGACGATTTATGGAGACCTGCAACAGAAGATGGAGGTCAACAGGGAGGCCCCACCCCAGCGCTCCTGCTTCTATGCCACTCAGAACGGGGCTGCCACCCACCACCACCAGAACTGACTCCCGAAGTGGGCCTCAGCCTTCCAGGAGAATGCGCACCTGGAGGAGCGGTGTCGCAGGGGGCGAGGGCTAGGTGTCTCCCTCCTTCGCTTGTGGCTGGGGGAGCGGCTGTCCCCACGCTGGCCTCTCCGGGAACCCCGCTCACTGCTGCTGCTGCAACACAGGACAGACATCTGGTCATAAGGTAGCACCAACCTCAGGCACCACTGAACCCCAAAGCTTTCTTTGTAGAAAGCAGTGGTGGCCAGACCCGGCTGGGTGCTGACATCTGCAGTTGGCCCTACCTCTGCTGGTCCCGTGGAGAGGGCTGTGGCGAGGGACGGCGACGCTCCACAGGTGAATAGCTGAGGGACCGAGAGTCCCTAAGAGAGTCTATTGGCTTCCGGGGGCTGCGGGACCTGGGGAACACAGGAGGACCCAATAGCACCACACCCTTTCAAGCCCACTGGCCAGCACTCAGGACCACCCGCCCAGGTCCTGACCACCAAACCTCACACCACACAGGGCCAGCCTCAGACCCACCTTTGTCCGCTCACTCACCCATCCGCCCGCACACCATCCACCGAGTGCCCAGTGGGCAGGCACAGGGTGCAGCGGGGGATGCAAAGATAAAGACAGTCCCTGCCCTTGAAGGAGCTCAGTGGTGAAGGAAGGCACGCACGGCCCCGTGTGTGGGAAGCAGGGCTGGATGTGCGTGGCTCTGGGGACCCAAGGGAGAGGGACATGGGGCAGGGCAGGGAAGGGGTAGGGGAGTCTTCTCGAAGGTGCTGTTTGAGCGGAGTCTTGCAGAACGAGGAGTTCACCAGGCGGACAAGGGAATTCCAGGCAGAAGGAACAGCATGTCCAAAGGCATGGGCTCTCCTTAGACTGCAAGGCGCTGGGTGTGGCTGGAGCACAGGGCATGTGTGGGGGCGGGCAGGAGGAGAACACAGGGCGGGCGAGGCCCGTTGGTGAAGAGCCTCACACGCCACTCCCGCAGAGGTGGGGCTTTGTCGCCGTCCCGAAGGATTTGTGGAGTGGAGGGAAGTAGCCAGATGTGCGTTTTAGAAAGGTCCCTCTGGCTACATGTGGAAGAGGAAGGCGTGGAAGCGGGGAGACAGGGAGGAGGCTGTGGACAGAGTCGGGAGATGACGACGGTGGCCAGACCAGAGCCCTGGCAGCAGTAATGGGGAGACACTAGAACCCTGGGACCAGGCTGTGTGTTGAGGGAGGGACAGGAAGAAACCAAGGAGACCCCAGTCCTGGCCTGAGCGACCCTGTGGATGGCGCAGCCCTTCGCCAGAACAGGGTGCAACGAGCAGGAGGAGAGGAGAGCAAGTGCCTCCTCCCCCACAACCAGACGCCCAAGGTCACGTGAGACACCCAGCCGGGAGGCTCACACCCCAGGATCCCTTCTCTGGACAAGTCACTTCCCCACCCTCCTTCAATCTCAGGCAAGGCAGCACTCACCTCCGCTCGCCAAGGGGTGGCTTCTTGGGGCTTGCAGGTTTGGGCAACGCCTGAGGACCAGGCTTAGCAGGGGAAGGGGAAGAGGAGGAGGAGGAAGAGGAGGAGGAGGAAGAGGAGGAAGAAGAGGAAGAGGAGGAGGAAGAAGAGGAAGAGGAGGAGGAGGAGGAAGATGAAGAGGAGGAGCTGGAACTGGAACTGCTAGAGCGCCTCTTCCGTTTGGCTGGGGTTGGCTCCGGAGGACGTCCCTCTCGAACAGCCTCCTTTGGGGCTGGTGTGGGGCTGGGGACCCTGTGGGAGGAGTGGAGTGTCACAAGGAGACAAGCTGCCCCAGCCCCAACCCTACCTTCCTTGGCCTGGAGGAACGGCAGTGGGGGAGGGGTGCCTGAGAAAGGTGCTGGGAGCTCTCTGAGTCATGTGAGCCAGCGATTCTCTGGAGAGCAGTGGTGCGAGCTGACCCAACCTCTGCTAACAGAAGCAACAGGCTGGGGCCCGCAGCATAAGGGATCAAGGTTAAACCTCAAGAATGTCCCTGATGGAGGAATAAGGCCTCTGGGCTCAGGTGTGGAAGCTGAAGCTGGGTAGTCTCCTTCCTCGGAGAGCCGCAGCTTGGGGAGGCCCCTGTGAGTGCAGGTTGGCTGGGGAAGGGGCCGTCCTGCCTGGAGGCAGGGAGAGGGATGGGATGACCTCTGAAGATCCTTCCAGCCCAGGGAGTTCCTCTTGAGGTCTAACTGCCATCCCTCCTGCTGTAAAATTAAGTCCATTTCCTCTAGTTCTGTCCTCTGTAGAGACGGAAAACTTATCATTATCCTCTAGAGAATGAACCTTCGGAGACTTTTATCTGTCCCATTCCTCCCCCCTCCACCCCCGCCCCCACATTCTCTTCTACCCCCAGTTTGAGGGTCAAGGTCCCCATACCTCCTCCAAGAGCCAAGCACCTGTAACATGGTTTCTCCCTCCCCACTCCCCAACCTACCCCCAATACCTCCCCCCAAAAGTTTCTAAAAGTCAAGCTCCCTCACCTCTTCAGTGCCACCTCAGGTTGCACAGGAAGGCTAGAGCCTTCCGAGTCACTAGAACTGGAGCCAGAGGAGGAGGAGGATGACGATGATGATGATGATGAAGAGGAAGAACTAGAGGACGAGGAGGAGGAGGAGGAACTCCGCCGCTCCTTTGCTGGCTGCAGGGCGGCTAATGCAGAAGGCTGCTGGGCCCCAGTAGAGGCAGGTGGTTCCCCCCCATCAGAGTGGGACACCCCAGGGGCAGGGACAGAGAGCATGCCATTGTGGTCACCAACAGAGGATGTGGTCGTTGCCACTGCCCCAGAGGAAAGGGACTGAGACCCTGCTATGGGGGTGGTCTGGGCAATCAAAGAACGGGATTGGTCTGAAAAAGCAGAAGGCACAGGAGACCTCGGCTGATCCTGTGCCGGAGGAAGAAGAGACTGTGAAGGCGCCTGGCCCATTCTAGAGGAAGGGGAAGGAGCCCGCTCGGAGGTCATTCTAGACTGGCTTGGTGCAGACGGTGGTGTTCTGGACCTGGCTCGGTCAAGGAGAGGTGGGGAGGTTCTGCCACTGACACGCTCGTAGGCAGAGAGGGGCACCCTGGGGCTGGTGAGATTTGCACCAGACAATGCTGGAGCCATCCTAGCACTGGTGAGGCTTGCAGGGGCCAAGGCTGCAGGGGTTCTGGAGCCGGCAATATTCACAGGAGCTGTGGCATGTGCAGACCGAGGACCCACCAGGTTTGCAGAGGCTGGAGCCTGCGGTGTTCTGGAGCTGGAGGGATAGTTTGCAGCAGTTGGTGGGGTGCCAGAGCCTGAGAGACTGAGAGCTGCCAAGGCAGCTGGGGTTCGGGCCCCTGCTAGGTTCACAGCTGGGGCTGTGGGGGTGCGAGGGTCAGCCAGGTTCACAGCCGAAGGTGCCACTGCTGTTCTGGAGCTGGCCAAGTTCATCGCTGCCGCTGCAGCTGGTGTTCGAGAGTCAGCCAGGTTCACTGCCGTTGGGATGGCAGGTGTCCTGGCACTGGCTAGGTTCATGGCTGCTGCAGAGGCTGCAGGAATCCTGCTGGCAAGGTTGGCTGCTGGGGCGGTTCTGAGACTCATGAGAGGCACCGGGGCTGGAACCTGGGACATTCTTGCAGCAAGGCCAGCAGCAGACATGGACGGAGGAGGCCGAGCAGTGCCAAGACTAATAGCTGTCAAGGCAAGTGCAATCCTAGACTGAGCATGATTTTCCGGCACGGATGTTCTCTGGTGGTCAGGTATTCGGGGACCTGGACCATCCATCATGGAGCCACTGGCTTGCTGCAGAACAGACATGGGTGTTCTAGAGCTGCCAAGGGGTTCAAGCATTCCAGGTGATCTACAGCGGTCAAGAGGTGTTGGGGACATGCTAGGACGACTGAAGCAGCTCATTCTTGAGCTATTGAGTGCTACTGGAGGTGTACGAGAACCAGAATGATTTCTTGTTGCTGGAGGAGTAGCAGAACGTGAACGATCAGAACTACTTCCAGATGC